TTCCGTTGGAACACATTGCCTGTATCACACCACCACACTCTCCCTAGCGTCTTTGTTGGCTTGTATTGCTGTATCCAGTTTCGGACCTCACTGACGGTTACCCGCTTCTCTTTATTTGCATTTCTGGTCGTATATACTTGCCCCGTCTCGTGGTGACCGTGTATGGTCCTTTCCACTTCGGAAGTAGTTAGCATGACCCTGGTGCGTATTCATCAGTGTTTTGCCTCACTCTATCATATGATGTCTTCGCCCGACCTCCCAGCAGCGTTCTAAGGAAAAGACTCTTCGCTGACGGATCTTGAACACTCCATTCAATTCCACACACTGCCTCGAAGTCCTCCCCAAAGATCCATATGTCTCCTTCATCAAAAACAACAGGCCATTGGATTTTCATTTGTCAGCAGGCGGCAGTTTAACCAATCACTGAGCTTGTGATTTTGGTCTACATTAAACGACATGAAATAGAATGTTCAAATACATATGCAGTATTCTGTTGCTAATGCAGTAATGAGCAGTGGGAATATGAAAGAATAATATTCCGTTGGACCCCATTGTCTGTATCACACCACCATAAATGTCTTCTTTAACACGTAATATGAATTTCTGTTTCACGTCACCTTACTATCATCTAACAAGATGGATATCAATACTGGTGCACATTAAATCCATTATGGTTAAAATTTAGTGTTATACAGTAATATTTACTGATGACCACGTTCCGAGCACAATTTATTGCTCATAATCATATGAAATTATACTCTACCACAGTGCAAAAGTTCTATTCTTATATCAAAAACCCTGAGTCGTTTGTTTGTTCGAAATGGTCTTCATACTGGCAGGAGACAAGAAAATGCTGTCACTGCTTAATCGATCGTGTATTGGTTCGCCGAAGATTGGAGAAATATGATCAGAAGTATTGCTGTACGTTACATTAATGTTTATTTACAGACTTTGGCACTGATTAACCGTTGTATGTAAATCTGTTTCACTATCGCTTGAAGAATAAACAATCGTATTGCCTAACTGTTCTCTGTTTTTCCGTGTCAGTACTTGAGTATTAGGCTTATAGTCTTCTGAAACTAGCCATGGGTCCAGGATCTCTACGATCTGGATATTCGACAATGGAATTGAGATATCCTGTATATTCAACTGATAAACAATACACTCTGTGAATATCTAAGTTATTTAAGGATTATTTGCCCTCTCTATTCAACCACTATTATTATTATTATTATTATTATTATTATTATTATTATTTATTATTGTTTCCTTTAATTCCTACAGGAACATACGGCTTCAGCCGTGCGTCTCCATTGCGTACGGTTCTCTGCTAGCACGTTCACCTGGCTCCAAGTCTGCCCACACGTTTTCATCTCCTCTTCACATGACCTCCTCCAAGTCATCCACACACTGACGACCAACTAGCCGCTTCCCTTTCGGGTTCCACTCCAGCGATGGCTTGTCTAGTGATGTCACTTGATGGTTTCCTCAGAGTATGGCCAATCCATTTCCATTTCTTCCTGCCTATTTGTTTCACAATCGGTTCCTGGTTGGTTTGCTCCCAGAGATCCCTCCCTCTTGCTGATCTTTTCTGGCTGGCCATCTGATCTTGAGTACTGAGCGAAGAGAACAGTTAATGAAGGTCTGTAGTTTGTTTGAGATGCTCTTTATGACGCGCTGAGTCTCTGATCCGTATAGTATCACTGACTAATGGTATTCAACCATTACTATAAATCAAATAAACGTCAGCGATGTAAGTGTTTGTTACTTATAAAGCTGTATATAAATAAGCAGCATGTCGTTTGAATTTGTTAGATAATCTTAATTCACGTAAAGCTGATGTAGGGAAATAAAGCATTAGAAGAACAGAAGGAAAGGCCTATCATGTATTTTCTGAACACATATCGAAAAGTCTACGATTAAAAGGAAATAAATCGTTGAACAATGCAGTGATAAGACATCTGATTGACACAGGACATCATGATGAAAATCCTGTAACCAATCAAATCCCTACAAACCAACACTTGAATTCTTTCAAATTAATAAACAGACAATCAAGCTCAAGTCTCTTGAAGTTCGCATAGGCCATCACTATCACACAATTACAACCTGAATTTGTATAGGTGTAAAGAGAAACTGTAGGAGGCCTTTCTCTACTTTGGGAACTCATCTTTTAACCTTAATAATTAGTTCTACTACCGTTTAATAAATGCTGGAGGGCTTCATATGTCTGGCATCTAACCAAATGAGCTTAGCTCAAATTTTTCTCTTTCATATCCTCTCAAGAGTTGATTTGTATGGATTATATTTGTTTTTTTTTTGAGTTAGACCACAGATTGATAACAGTTAGAGAACCATTGAAAACCAACACCAGAGTACTGGACAGCCAGCTGTTTCGTCAGCCTACTATGGGATTGACGTTTCATCAGTGCGCACCCATCACATGGGTTCGAAATGAAGACTTTCCGGTTACAAGGCTAGCAAGCTCGTAGACTATTCATCAGCCATTGGGACATGACACCTCAACAACCAGCCCATGAATTCTAATTTCTACCATTTCATGATTTTTAACGCGACTGGCGCCAACCAATGTCATCAGCGGGAACTCCATCTTCACTTCCCACTAGATACACCTTGACTGGTCACACCTTCTAACTAGAACTCCAGGAAACTCCATCATGTAGCGAAGCATCAGATCAATTTTCATATCTCATTCTTATACTAACAATTTTCTAATGACTTATAAAAAACATTTCATTTATGCACCTCAATATCTTGTTGTTACCCTTCCACCCCACTTTTCATATTTTAGATTACATAAGACATGTAAGTACAGTAATATATTACATTTTATTGACACATTTGATTCATCTCTGTACCATTCTTAATTATAGTTCCACATTTTGTATGATTTAATGAAGTATATTAAAAGTGTAATAGAACTATTAAATTTCAATATTTAGGTTGTAATGTAGCTGACAAGATACCAATGTAATACACAGAAAAACCGGAGCTGTGCATACGAAAGAGAATTACTCAACCACCTCTACCGTCATCGTAACAACTTTGTTGATTTTTAATGACTTAATTTTGTTTGTTTGCCTGTTTCTTTAATTTCTTATAATTCTTGTATTCATTTAGAACTCTTACATAATTTTGTATTCTCTACTTCGTCCCTATGTGTAACCTGAGTAAAACTCACTCATCAAACTACTCATATTATAACATAACTTGTTTTAACAACTGTTTGTGACAACTCATCACCTTTGTTACTACCCTAATTTCATTAACACCCAATTTTCCTGGCTGATTTTGTATTAAGTAACTCCAATTACCAATCTTCACCTGTTTAGTTTAAATGACCATAACCACTTGTATTTTTTGTTTGACAAACTTAATCTACACATACATACATAGCTAAGAAAATGAATTCGCCAAAAACAGACTCTTCACTGAACTACGTGTTTTATTTTCATTAATGCCTGGATGGAGATTATGCATGAAATACACAATGGATCCGTTGAAATTCCTTAGGGGGAATTCATGTATCCAACTCATAGTAGTTAACGCTCTACTGCTGAAGTTGTGTAAAATGAATTATAATGTGACGTAACATGAAAGCATGAATTGAGAGACAGAGACCACCTCAGCATAAACAACAAGATTCGAATTCTATTTCAACACAAATGTGAAGTCAGTCACTGCTTCTATATGCGTGTGAAACTTGCACAGTGCGTCACGAAAAGCATTTCCATCAGCCAGCTAGCTGGCCAATTCGCTCGCTGGCTTCTAGTGAAGATCAAATGGCCAGCCGACCGGTCGTCCAGAAACAGTTAGCAATAAGAAACTCTAGCCAGCAACAAACCAACAGGCCAGAGTCGATTCCTCAACAAATATGCAGAGGAAAATAATGGAGATCGATTGAGCATACACTGAGGAAGTTGCCAAATGATATTGCGCTCAATGCAGGTCATTGCTCGAGTGGAATCCGATGGGAAGTGGCGAGTGGGTCGTCAGTGCGAGGGTGATATGGAGGAGATAATGTGTTCGGGAGGAGGAGATGAGAGACTGTGGGTAATCGTAGGGTTAGACCCACTGGAGAGGTTAGCACCAAATAGAAGAAAGTGAAGATGTCTTGTTGAAGCCTTACGTTCCACTCGGAACCAAAAGGAATACGAATCATAAAAATGGCATACACTTTCTCTGTATTTTAGCTAACTTCGAAATAAAAGCAATGCTTCAACCATTTGCCTTTTTTATTCTGTCGCGCACAAACACATATACACGCACAAACGTACATCTGTAATGTATCGTCATTATTTCAAGCATATGTACCATATCTCTGATTATTTAATTGAATTTTAGATTTTCCCGTCGACTGATTGGACCGAAGTGCTCGGTCTCTCTCAGGTTGACATGTCTGTTGGCTTCTTGTGCGGATGCTTCGACGATGTCTGGGCATATAATTAACAGTTAATTGGTGGATGGTGACTAGCAGTGGAATCCAGGATAACGCGCACTTCGTCCTATTTGGGGCTCGTCATCTGATTGTTGAAACATGTATGGAGAATTCAATCAAGCCTCAGTAGTTAATATGTATGTATAAGTTTATTTTACAAATCCAATAGAAAGAAATAAGAATAAAGACCGTAGACAATAGACAAGAAATATTTATTCTTGTCATTCATTATACAATCTGATCAAGTTGAACTGTTCATCATCATCGCATTTATTTACTATCACATTGCAATACACACACACACACACAAATATATACCTTTATTATTTTTAGAAACAAAAACAACAGTGGAAGTTATCAAAGTAAACAATTCGGCGGCAGCGGCGGCGGAAGAGGAGGAAGAGTAGTAGTACTCATAAGCAGACAACTGTCTCTCTGTTATGCGTGTGTGTGTGTGTGGGTATGTGTGAGTGTCGTGGGAAAGCAGAAGAATAGTGATTAATCATTATAAAAAAAACACATGAACGAAACAGTCAGTTGTAAAAAAAAGAACAACAGAGGAAGAGAGAGGCAACCGAACCACTAAATAACTGTGTTTCTTTTTTTAATAAAAAAAGCACAAAGAAGAGATAGAGAGAGAGAAACCAAAGTATTCCCATGCCACAGCCTCATATAAACAAAAATTATCACATGAAAAAATGTAAAAATTAAAAGAAAGTGTGTGTGGAGGCGGTAGGGGGTTAAAAAAACATTCACTTCAAAATTCATTAAATTCCATTCAAAGATGTTGGTTTATTCTGATGCATACTGCTGCTAGTGGAGATGTCATTCGAATAATTCAAGCTGTTAATGTTATTCTGGACACTACTACTACTATTATTGTATTGCTTATTAGTAGTATCATTAGCATTTCCTGTGGCCAAATGTAACGGAGCCAGAAATTCCCCATACAACCGTAGTAGATGATGCAATGCTAATGCCATTTGATTACTTCCCCCAGCGACGAGGACACAGTCAACAATATGCGGATATAATTCGATAACACTGGACCAGATTGAATCATCTACTGTATGTGCGTATTTCATACAGAGATGCATCGACAGATGCGCCCCGACCAACAACATGATTCCCGACAGATAGATATAAAGACAAAAAGACAAGGTAGAATGAATTATTACAGGAGCAAATAAATAATTTAAAAAAAGTTGTTTGCAAACATACTATGTGGTCACAACACACACCTGTAAGTAATTTATTCATTATGCAATGTGTTGGTTGAGAAGGGGATTCAGTAATGCCATCATCATCATTATCATCATTGGTTTTGAGACAAGCCTTACTTAATCTAAGTATAAAACTTGGGTACTGTACTGAAGTATAACTCCATTATGGATAGAAATTTTATTTTGATAAAATCACACAGTGTAGTGTTGTTATACAGTAATATTTACTGCTGATAGCCACATGCTTCGAGCACAATTTATTACTGCTCATAATCTCATTATCAACTACTACTACTACTCACACAACTTTCTTGCTTCGTCGTTTATATACATGAGATATAAGATAAAGTACATTCGGAAATAATATTAGTGTTGTCAATAAGATGAGAAATAAGATGTTTTTATAGTAAAATAAATAAATAAGTAACTTGCTAGAATGTTATAATGTCAATATATTTTAACACTATTTATTATCCTCTGATTTGACAGATGGTAATAATATCTTCCATATCTCTGGTATTTGCATTGAGTCACTTATATTACGCATGTGTTGATTGTAGTAGACTCGATGAACAAGGATTCAGTAATCAACCTCTCTGTCTTCACTTACCAATATTACTTCTTAGAATTTAGCCCTCTCTCACCACATTATTGTGTGATTGTGTGTTAATGCATGCATGCAGTGCAATTGCTGAGCTTTTTTCTAAATTACTTATCTGTCTTTGTGCAACTGTAACCTTCCTTCCTTTTGGGTTATTATCCTGGAGGAGATTGGTTCCCACTGCATGAGAGCTTTGGTTGCTGTTGGTGACATCATGATGGCCACTCCCTCGGTGTGCTCATGGTTGTCCTCTGGGTGACCGGAATAGATTATTGTCTCTCCAGTTGATAGTTTGCACCTTCCACATCCGTTCCATCTGCTATCACAGATTGCCAACACTTCTATTCCATATCTTCTCATTTCTGCAGCTACCTGGGCAGCCTTTCCAGCTTCGTACATTGTGAGAACATTCCACGTCTCCATCCTTATTTTTGCTTTCATCGTCTTTGTGGGATGAATCACTCTAACCTCAACCGAATTCTTATATTCTGACAGAAAATGCGACCAGCCCCGATCTACCAGTTTGACCTATATGGTTGACCTCATTCACAGTCATTGCAAGGTATTTTGTGAATTATATTATTTTGTCTAATTTGGTCAACCGACAGGGGTCTTTAACCTACAGAGCTTTTTCCTGCCTGAGTGAGTGAGTTTGTAGGTTTTAATGCCACCCTAATTCCTTCTTTGTTAAGAATCCTACATGCTGAGGGTTTCAGATGTCCTTTCCATCCTTATATGACCTAAATTGTAGATGCTTTATATTCTTTCTTGTTTATGTTATAATTATTAGTTTCACCACATGCAACTGAGAAATGACTCAACATAAATGCCAGAGATGTGGAAGATAATGTTTACCACCAGTCAAATCAGAGGATAATAAATAATGTTAAAATGTTTTCGACTCAATTCACATTTTAACATTCTAGCAAGTTATTTATTTATTTATTTTAATATAAAAACATCTTATTTCCCATCTGATTGTATTTGATTAATAACACTAATATTATTTCCGAATGTACTTTATCTTATATCTCATGTAGATAAATGATGGAGCAAGAGTTGTGCCAGTAGTACCTTGATATGCCATTTATTAGCAGTGATAAATTGTGCTCGAAGCATGTGGTCATCAGTAGTAAATATTACTGTATAACACTACGCTGTGTGATTTTGTCAAAATAAAATCTTATCCATAATGAAGGCTTACTTAGGCTCCTTTAAACTGAAGCCATCAGCAGTGTAGTAACAATCAGGATATTAGACGCGTTTATTATTACACCACTTCTCGCCCCGCATGCTTCGCTGGAGGGTATTACACAAGGCTAAACTACCGATGCACAACTATCCTATAATCTTCTATTTAGGTATCCTAACGAATTAAATACTGTTATGGAGTGATCGAGTATAGATATTGACTAACGAGATACAACGGATGATTTTAGAACGACTGGTATCGCTAAGTGATAGTTAAATTTCCCTGACCCGAAGAGCAATTTTGAAGACTCACATGTCGTTGACGAAGGACATGTACATTATTCCAACAATGGAAGCTGTCACACAAGTGTGTCACTCAATTGTACAGTACAGTACAATACAAAGTATAAGCATATAACTAACATACATGAACCAATACGATAGATCAAGTAGTTTTTTTCTCACCCCACTGGATTCTGATTGATTGCAATGTCATGTGACAAAGGTCATGCATCATTGTTATTTAGTTAATAGACAAACAAGATAGACTGTGAATCATTACTGACTAACGAACAATAGACATATATCAAACCATAACAGACTGGCAAACAAAAAGCAGATATCATGTGACTACATATCAAATACCTAAACTGTTGAAGATAGATCCCATATTATTTTTTGTTTTTATTAGATATACCGTGCAGTGAAACAGTACTATTTACTGGGATATAAATAATAATTTGAATATCCTCGTAAGTTATTCAGAACAAAAATAGAGTGAACAACTGTGATGATTTTAATAAATTCTCCTTCAGACACTACAATTATAAATCCATTAGTTGAAGGTTTTCGTTATGAGCATGACATCAGTTAGAGAACCATTGGAAAACCTGTGAGGAGTACTGGACAGGTGTTTCGTCCTAGTTTCGGACTCTTGAGCAGTAAGCACCCACCGTCAGTCAGTGTGTTGTAGAATTGTCTTTTATCTTTCCTGGCACTCTTCCTCACTTCTTCATTCAGTTCGATATACATTGAGCTAGCTTCCCCTTCTCTTGTCCATCTTTCTGTTGAATCATTTCCTCTTCCACCATCCTCCTCTCCTCTCTTCTATTAGCTTCCAGGTAGGTGTCCATTGAGATCCATTCCTTCTCTTCACTCTTCTTTCTTCCTAGAACAGTTGTCAACGTTTCCCTGATCAGCACCTTCAGAGAGTTCCAATGTCCTTCTACACAGGTTTCCTCAGTGATGCCATTTAGTGTCTCCGACTTTGCTCTGATCTGATCTGTAGTGAAGGCATTCCTTGTAGTTTTGTCCCTCTGTCGAGTTTCTGAATGTTGAACTTGAATTGTAGCCTGCCTCCAGTTGTTTTCAGGGATTCCAGCTTCAGCTGGAAGGCTCCGTGAACTAGGTGATGCTCTGGGCCCACATATAATGCCCTTGCTGACTTTGTATCTAACAGACTGCGTCTCCACTTTCTTCAGCAGCATTCAGATGAAATCTGTCTGAATTATGGTGTGTCCGTCAGGTGAAATCCATGTTGCCTTATATAAATGATTGTACTCGTACATGCAGTCTCCGACCACCAAATCACTAACAGCGCAAAAGTCTGCAAAGAGTTCTCTCTTTTCATCCTTTTCATCGAGACACAGCTTCTCCAGCCATGATGAGTTCTCGTCTTGTGTTATCTGCTCCAAGTTCAGCTAAAATTCAAATTGTCCACACGGATTTTGATGTCACCATTTGGGATGTTGTCCATTACTGTTTACACGTGTCTATAGAAATCTCCCTTCTTCTTCTTCTTCTCTTCTCAGTCGTTTATAGTATTGTGCATATCATTGGATGGTTGTGCCTTTCCTCCCCTGTAAGTTGAATCTTATTGTTATTATCCTGTAGGAGGAGATTGGTTGCCACTCCACACGAGAGCCTTGTCTGCTTACTGTTGGTGACATCATGATATCCACTCACTGCCTCAACGTGCTTGTGGTTGTCGTGTGGAAGTGGTTAGTGGTGTAGATTACTGGCTCTCCAGTTGACACTTTGGCTAGTCCACATCGATTTCATCTGCTCTTGCAGATACCCGGCACTTATACGCCATATCTTCTCATATCGTTAGCTACCTGGGCAGCCTTCTCGGTTTCGTGCACTGTATGAACACTCCTCGTGTCCATTCTTATTCTTCCTTTCATTGCGGGAAGACACATTGACTGACCTACTGGCTTTCACCAGCCCATGTCATTTCGACTCTCCAACTTCAGCGAAGAATGAAACTGTTATTTGAATTTTTTGTGTTTTTAATATATTTTTTGTGCGTTGAAGTTTCTATATTTTTTGGTTAGTTTTCTGTGGTAGGGTCGCTAACCCCACTCCTGTCCAACTCTCCATCTCTACGGAGGATTGGCACCGGATAGTAAACTAGTGAGTTAGCACTCTAGGCGAGGTTTTTTTCCCGGTACATTTGATAAATTAAATCAGTATCATTGCAGTATTGTAAATCAGGCGTTTATATGTTTCGGCTGTTTAAAAAAATGATAACGTACAAAAAATATATTAAAAACACAAAAAATTCAAATAACAGTTTCATTCTTCGCTGGAGTTGGAGAGTCGAAATGACATGGGCTGGTGAAAACCAGTAGGTCAGTCAATGTGTCTTCCCGCAATGAAAGGAAGAATAAGAATGGGCACGAGGAGTGTTCATACAGTGCACGAAACCGAGAAGGCTGCCCAGGTAGCTAACGATATGAGAAGATATGGCGTATAAGTGCCGGGTATCTGCGAGAGCAGATGAAATCGATGTGGACTAGCCAAAGTGTCAACTGGAGAGCCAGTAATCTACACCACTAACCACTTCCACACGACAACCACAAGCACGTTGAGGCAGTGAGTGGATATCATGATGTCACCAACAGTAAGCAGACAAGGCTCTCGTGTGGAGTGGCAACCAATCTCCTCCTACAGGATAATAACAACAAGATTCAACTCATAGGGGAGGAAAGGCACAACCATCCAATGATATGCACAATGCTACAAACGACTCAGAAGGGAAGAAGAAGAAGGGAGATTTCTATAGACACGTGTAAACAGTAATGGACAACATCCCAAATGGTGACATCAAAATCCGTGCGGACAATTTGAATTTCAGCTGAACTTGGAGCAGATAACACAAGACGAGAACTCATCATGGCTGGAGATGCTGTCTCTCGGTGAAATGAATGACAGTGTGCAGCAGGCCGACCGGCCGGAAACAATTAGCAACAGGAAACTCTAGATTGCAAGAAACCAGCAAAGGAGAGCCGATTGCTGAACAAATATTTAGAAGAAAATGGAGATGTATTGCGGACATACAGTGGTGACCGTCGAATGACATCGGCGCGTTGCAGGCCATTGTTCGAGTGGAACCCAAATGAGAAACGACGAATGGGTCGTCTGTGCGGTGGTGACATGGAGGAGATTGTGCGTTGGAGAGGAGGAGGAGATGAGAGATTTTGGGTTATCGTGTGGTCAGTCAGATGAAGAGGACATCAGAAAATAGAGGAACATGGAGGTGTGTGAAAGCCAGTCGGTGAACCCAGTCACATTCCCACTTTTCATTACTTTGCGTTCCAAGTGGATTTCAAGGTTGAGTTGTGAAGTTCCAGTAGTAGTGGTGACTTGGGTTTTGTTTTCATCCGGGATTACTGACGATTACACAATACTGAAGATCGAGTCGGCGACTGGTAAGACCTAAACCACTTGTTTAGTTGGCGAGTATTCCATTCTAACAGTTGATCAGCGGCACACATACAGACACAATCGAGTAAAATAATTTTTTATGTTCACTAAAAAATAAATAAACACACTTAACTTACCGTCTTGTTGGATTGGGACAGACTGAAGTGATGTCAGCATAACTGTCAATGCCTTGAATACATAACTGATTTCGGACAAACGAGCACTGTATATATTTATAAAACGAAGAGTAAGAAAACCAATTAAACAAAAGGTGTGTTAGAGTAAACACATCAAGCTTTTTTTTCAGTTTCAAATATAATCTTAATTAATAAATTATATATGTCCAAACCAAGTTCACTTTTAACAGTTTGAAAAAATTTGGGCATTGGATATATGATATTCATTATAATAAATGTTTCTTATTGCATTTCCCAATGAATGAAAAAGAGCAAAACGATATTGTTATTTTTACTTGCGTTTCGCTATTTAATGCTAATAGCTTTATCTAAGTATTATTAAACTGGAATCTACAAAATCTCAGCATATATATGACAAAGAGTTAAGAGGTGAGAAAATAGACTTAGGTCAAGTTAAAAGGATATATATATATATATATATATATATATTGAAAGTCAAAATAACAATGAAGATCACTAAACCAAATAACAAAGGTAATAGTACATCTGTTATGGTATCAAAACAAAGTTTACTAACTTGATCATCGTTCGTCAATCTGGGGTCATTTTTCGTTGTCAGGTTGGTCATTTGGTAAAGACAACAAAACAAACAACAGTCGTCATTCCACACAGAGCAGAGACGTCAGACAATATCAGAAGAGAAGAGTACTCAATCAGCTTGACATTAGAGTTTTCTTCAAAACATCAGACACACTGCAAAACAACCTTGTCCATATAAAAGACAAAATCCCTAAAGATTCTCTATCTAATTGTGTCTATAAAGTAAAATGATTGGAATGTGATGCGATATACATCGGACAAACATCTCGAGAAATCAAAGTCAGAAAAAGTGAACATCGTAGAGCATCTCTTAGACCACCGAGAAATCCGGTTGAATTAGAAAAACTTGAAAAATCATCAGCCATAGGTCGTCTACACGCCATAGAATCAGGCCACAAAACTGATTTCGACAATATTGAAATAATCCAGAAAAACTTCAGAAATCACAAAGAACGTCTAAAATCAGAAGCACTTCATATCAAGTGGAGTCCAAATTGTCTTGGCTGAATAGGAATGATGGACTAAAACAGAATCTGACCTGGTTACAACACCTCCCTCTCCTCCCCCACGAAGTGACAAATCAACACGAATGTAATAAGCAAGTTCACTATGTAAACACATGCTGTTTTTACAATTTCACACGCTTATCAAATCCAACAATCTACACCTGGTTTTGTTATCTTTACCAATTAGCCAACTTGACAACGAAAAATGACCCCAGATTGACGAACGATGATCAAGTTAGTAAACTTTGTTTTGATACCATAACAGATGTACTATTACCTTTGTTATTTGGTTTAGCGATCTTCATTGTTATTTTGACCTTCCATATGTGCTTCTAACTTGACCTAAGGAGTCTATTTTCTCAACTCTTAACTCTTTGCTATATATATAAGATGAGATTTTGTAGATTCCGGTTTAATAATACTTCTTTGATAAAGCTATTAGCATTAAATAGCGAAACGTCAGTAAAAACAACAATATCGTTTTGCTCTTTTTCATTCATTGGGAAATACAAAAAGCTTTATTATAATTAATTAATAAATATTGTAATGTCGCTATACATTGCAGTCTTGAACAAGAGACTGTTTTCTGACTGTAAGTTGTTAATGACCTACACACAAAATCCATTAACACTTGTACAACTAGAAGGTTTATTGGGAATATTTCCTTCGCAAGAGATTATAAACACGTTACACCATCAAAGCAAAACAACCAGCTACAAAACAAAACAAACAAAAAAACAACAACTGGATGATTCGACCTTTGATTCAAGATTACATGCTCTATTTGGAACCTACACTAACAATACTGAAGTCAATGTGTCGTAGGGAGATATACACGGTGAGTAGTTTAAAAACTTCCATCTGTTGGTCAACCATCATTTGGTAGAGATGTCAATATATCCGGTCAAAATTACTCTGTCGAAATTCACCTGCTAAAGAAACTATGCGATATTTGTGGAGCCAAAAACAGCAACTCAGAGATGAACTTGTTACCAGGGTATAATCTCGTCGACTTAGTCCCTCTAGGTGAAGATGCTGACAAAATAGAGCAGAGTCTTCTGGGAACCTTTGGCAATGAGCAGTCTACGAATGTTTGGCATGCGATTCGCTCCTGCTGTCAAATGTAAGATGATGCTACAAGGGTTTGAATGGACTGCGTCAAATCACTTCTAGCTTAAAGATAGGGAGGTGGTGAAGTGGCTGATGGAGTGTGTTGACCACTTCACTTAATTTTTGGGGGAGGGGGAGTTTGCATCAGCCAGCCCTATCAGCGGGTTGACCGCTGACGAAATCTCATCATGGATACAGAAGGCTCGTTCGGCATGCGCCAGCTATCTCTAGCTTAGTAGACGTGATGTCCGGATGACTGGCTATCGAGCGAAGAGCGTGTGTACTACTCACACACCATCCTGCTTTTTGGTCACCTGTAAGACATGGCCATTGAAACTGGAAGATATGAAAAACCTGGCTGGATAGCTAGCCATCTTTGATCATAGGTGTCTGCGTTCTGTCACCCGTGTGTGTTAGGTGATTGGTGGTGGTATAACAGGATGAACAATATTGAAGCTAGGCATCGATGGTTGAGCGCCAGGAAGGAGAAATCAATCAACGAGGTGGTTGTGAAGTTACACCGTTGAGATGGTCAAGACATGTGTGACGCATGCATGACCAACCATCCATCTCCTTCCTTGATGACTTGCAATTTTAGCTGACTGACATAAGATGGATCAGGTTGGAAAGGAGTTAGCTAGTGGTGGTCAAACGAAAACATGGATTCATCAGTCAATGAAATCCCCAACGGTTAGTTTCAGTCAGCCAGTCACGTAGGGGGGGGGAGGTGTAGCGCTCCTGACTGGGTGGAGTCTTTGGGATGGTACAAACCACTGACGGCTGGAGACAATTTGTGATATGGCTCAAAATCGTCGTTGTCAATGGCTGTCGCAGATTCATTCACTCCCTGTGATTCATTATATATAATAGAACTCTATTGTTCTTGCATATTACTATTCTTTTTCCCTCACTCACACTTCTGTTTATTATATCTCTTTCTGTTTTGAATCTGTCATTACTCTCTTCGGTTGATTTGTATGGTACAAGGAGGGAGTGTGGAAAGTGGAACTGGTGTGCACATCTGTGCAAAGTTGTTGTACGTTGGAACTAATCAACTAACAGCAAAGGTTTGAATAAATACTGATTATATTTTTGCACGTAAGGTTGAATCTCTTATTTTGTGACAACTTAACCACCTACTTCCTTGTAGTGAAATTGTGAAAAACAGAAATAAAAAAATATCAAAAAAAGAAGAAAAGAAGAGAATAGCGTGTAAGAAGAAAAAACAACAAATATGTAGGCAAACACAGGAAATTATAAATGTTGTACATTTCTACGGCCCGCTCCCCTCTAAAGCATCCTGAAGATCAAAAAGCACTTTTCTCCTGTAGTTTCCAACTACATAAAAATATTCCACGTCAACATGAAATAAAACTATTCAAAGTAATAATAAACACAGACAGACAGGGAGGCAGGCGTTAGGTGCACCATACAGAAACTAACACAACACGAAAGGAAACAACCTAGGATTAGTGTGGGAAAAAAACATTTTCCACGGAAGTGTATCAGTGTTCATGTGATTGCAGCAACTTCGAAATAGGATAGAGAACTAAGGAGACACCGATATACACATAGGAGGGAAGAGTAAAAGCAGTCATTGAGAATAGTAATAATAATAAACACTAAATGTGTACGTTTACACACCATTATGATAAGTTTAGAGACATTATTACTGTGAGAGTCTCCTAATGACTGACACAGAGGGCTAGTTTCGCATATGCCAGTTTACGCCGTCTCTAACGTAGACGTGATATCCGACTATCGATCAAAGGGCATATGTACTGCTCAGCAGTCCGCTCCATCCTCCTTTGTGGCTGTGAGACCTGGCCATTGAGAGCGGAAGACATAAAAAGATTAGCTGTCTTTGATCAAAGGTGTCTGCGTTCTGTCTCCCGCGTGAAGTGCAATAATAAGGTGAGCAATATTGAGGTTAGGCAACACTCAAGTGCTAGGTAAGGCGGGGAAATCAGTCGACGAGCCTGTGAAATTACGTCGACTGAGATGGTTAGGACATGTGTTACGTATGCCTAGTCATCGCCTTCCTCGACGGGCAATGTTAGCTGATATAGGGTCAGGCTGGAAAAGAGCTAGCTGCGGTCGAACGAAAACATGGCACCAGTCAATGAAATCTACAACAGAGAAGATTTGTAGCTCAGGTGGATGATTTGCAATTAATAGTGTTCTCTGAGCTGGTTGGACGACGAAAGCTTCGGGAGGGTAAAAACTAATGGTTGGAAACAATTGGTGACATGGCTCAAAATCGTTCTCAGTGGCGCAGATGCATCCACTCCTTGTGACTTCTGATTTCCAATGAAACTGTTTTGTTCTTCGTTATTGCTATACCTTTGTCTCACACCTCTGTTTACTGTCTCTTTTATGCATTTCTCGTACTTTCTTCTCTTGCTTTGTGTGCTACAAGGAGGGAGTGCGGCAACTTGAACTGCCGCACATATGTGCAAAGTTCTATGTCGAAAACAGACAGACTGACACTTTCATTTGATGAAAACACATTTTATTTTGATTATAGTTTGATTCCACACAGTATTTTTCGTGCAGCTATGGAATTTTCAGCATGTGACATCGGTAGCCCAAATTTAGCAAACCGACCATCGATATGAGGTATGGGGGATCGAACCCCAGACCATGTGCACGGTTGAGAAGCGTCCTAACTGCTGTGCCACCGACGCACAGATATAGAACATATCACGTTTTGGTGTAACCTACCTACGTGATGCGTGCGTGTATTAATACCATCTATTCACTGATTATAAGCCTCTTAATTCTTGAATTCATTAGTCTACCTCACCACTTAACGTAACTAGTTGAAAGACCCATTGGGCTTTCTTTTTTATTGTATCTTAACTTCAATAAAGATTTATGAGAAGGTGCTTCATTCTACATGACTACTTTATATAACAACCAACCAAAATAATGTCTGATTACAATTCACCCACTTGATTCGATACGTCGTGGCGTCGAGGGTGTGTCTACGACTGAAGAGTTGTAAACCAAGACGAAACAGATGTTTAGTACTCTAGAGTTTCTCAGTCACTCAATAATCTGCACACACACATACCCACACTCTATGTGGCACAAACCAACTGTGTAAGAAAGAGACTTCATGGACTGATGTCAACTTTCAGTTTGACCACCTCTTACTTTTTTGCATCCTAATCATACTGTGGCGTATGCTACTGATAAAACTTATCAGTAGTAGAGATAAATAAAGAGAGGTTAATCGGCATAAAACATCAAATAGGAGGGAGATAGATTTGATGTCAGTCAGAGAAAGCAATTGATACAGCATTGCAGAGATAAATGTGAGACGTTAAAAGAACACGATATGAAGGAAGGAGGGAAGTAGCACAACACGGAAGATATGTGCAAATGGTGCATTGAAGATAAGGTGTATGTAATTTAGCTATATAGAGATACTAAATTTACCGTTACACTATATCAGTTAACATTGTTCTTTAAGGAAGGCGATGATTTAGCATGTGCAACACGTGTGCTCAACTTCACAACCTCATCGATTGATTTCCATTCCTTACCTCTGCTACTACATAATCCTATTCTGCCTACACTGCATGCAGCAGTTACAAGCACATATAAACACATCTATAATTAAATTTTAAATTAAATGTTTAGTGTCAATCATACATTGAGGCAACCAATTCAACTTTAGAAAAACAAACAAACAACAGATTGAGAGAAGAAATATATGTCTTTTCAATTACTTCCTCAAAATCTGGATATCAAGTTGACTCTAGCAAAGCTTTTGAAGTTATTGATCGTATTTCACTCAACCTCTCGCCAAATGGTCCACGAGTACAACTTTTACATACAGCCGAGGAAATCAGAATTCACCTGAACAAGCCAAATGTGTGTATGCGTTCAAAAGGAATTTGTACAGCCCCTTGCATTGCTATGGACAACTACATAATGTGTATTAAGTTTTTAAAAACCACTTTTCTCCTCTACTTGCGGCTGTCTCATCTTTTGACTTTGTTAATTTTTATAATTCTAGCTGATTCTATTAACTTGTCTGTTTGTATTATACGTAATTCCATTGAGTCATCCTATTCTTCTTAGTCATCATCGTTATTTTACAAATTTCTTGATTATGTAATAATGACTTGTTGCTAACGCCTAAGAATTAACTTATCTTGAATTCCGTAAATAATTAATTTTCACCTCTGCTTCCTTCAAAATTTAGATATCTTGTTACTGACATCTATTAGTCAATTGATGTTTTGATGACTTTTGATGACCTCTTAATTTCACCCACACCTCATCCGCCTATACCTAAACAAATGGTCTTCGTCTAACAGCCTCAAACTAAATCCTTCCAAATGTCAGACTGTTAATTTCAGTTTCTGATGTAAACGAAAGTTAAATGAAGCCGTTGATTCCTATGGTCCTTGCAAAATTGATGATACTGATTTAGAAGCCCAGTCTGAAGTTAAGTATCTTGGATTAATTCTTTCTTCTGACCTATCCTGGTCCTCCCCCGTGTCTTAGCGATTTCTCAAAGAATATTTCGTCTGACTTTTTACATTGAGAAGTTAAGGCACTCAGGCATAACCCAACCACTCCTCTTACAGTTTTTCAACTCGTGTATTTTACCTATTCTTCTTTACTGTTCACCCTTATTCTTTCCTGAATTGCTTAAAAAAGACTATGTCATACTTCGTAGAACTCTTAAGACTGTCAGTAGGACGAGTGGTATACCATTGGGCCATATCAGTGACATTGTTGCTGATAGTCACTTGATGTCATACAACAGCAGGAGACAGAAGCAAGTGGAGACGTGCAGTTGAAGCCCTATGTTCCACTAGGAACCCAAGGGAACAATAATAAAAAATAATATTAAATAACTTCACATATGCGTTGGTGGCACAGTGTTAGAATGCTCGCCAACCACGCCTCATGTTGTCTGAGGTTCGACCCCCGATCAACGCACTCCTTTACCTCCCTAAACCAGTAAGTAATAAAACTGGTAAAGAGGGTAGGTTAGGCATGAGGCTAGCAACCCCAATCCCGTAAAAATAAACACCACTGTTACCGAAACTTCAAGCCTCTAGCTTGAAGCCAACTTATGTTCCACTGTGAACGTAAAGGGGAATAAAAAATAACTTCATATAAATCTAAGTAACTTAATTCTATCTAACAATATTAACAATGGATAATAATAGTCGACCAAACTAACAATCTTCTTCTTCTTCTTCTGAGTCATCCTATTCTTTTTAGTCATCATTTCTCTTTTACAAGTTTCTTAATTATGTAATAACTTGTTGCTGACGCCTATGAATCAACTTATCTTGAATTCCGTAATTAATCAGCTTTCACTCCTCCCTCCTTCAAAACTTAGATATCTTGTTAATGACATGTATTAAAAAACGGTTTCAGAGAACAAAATTTTCTTTTCGACAAAGTAATCAACTAGGCTGTACATTCGCGTGCTTATAGTACATGTGTGTGAGAAAGTTCCAGAGGTCAGATTAATAAAATTGTTAAGTGTAAGAAAGAAAAGATAGATAGAAATATTTCAGGTCAAAGGGCAAATTAAAAACTCCAATGTCTAATAATCAGGAAGATCGGGTAGAAAAGACAAAATAGGATTATAATTACCAGAAAACTCGTCAGTTTTTATAATTACGGGTTAATGACGTAGTATTAACGAAATGGGTAGGAGGTTCGGATATATAAAGATAAAAACAGTAACCAAATCTAATAATGCAGATAGGGATTTATAAAGGTAAATATAACAAATAAACTAGGAGGTTGAACAAGAAAGGTAATAGGATAATCATTATTGGTGAGACTGACTTTTCATGATGGCCACGGTAGGGACAACGGTTGGATGCGTTTCTTTTGGACTTATAGAGTAGGATTGAGTTTTTGGATCGCCAGTGCTTCAGCTATTCCTAGATGTCTTGATTTCACACCCTTTGTAGGTTGGATCGGATCTTGTATATGGCTTTGATGGACTTTTCAAATGGGGCTGAATGTCTAGAATTCACCAAATGTTCTGTTATCGAAATATACACCCCTATGCGTTCTTCCTTTGCTAACCATGCTGGTTAGTGTTCCCGCACGCGTTTTACAAGCGGACGCATGGTACGGCCAATGTACTCAACTCCACACGAGCAAGTGAACTTGTATATGCATGTCTCTTCGCTGCAACCGTCTTTTTAATAATTCCTATGACATCTATTAGTTAATTGTCTTGATTACCTTTAGCCTATTAATTTCACCCACCCAACCCCATCCGCCTATACCTAAAACTGGTTAACTAAAACAATCACTTGATTGGTAAAAGGATTTTGATGTAAAAAAAGACTATATATTGGTGTGGAGCCAGCCAGCCGATGATGAGGAAGTAATTGAATTGAAGAGGAATATATTTCTTCGCCTAATCTGTTTTTTTTTCTCAAAGCATAAATGGGAATTTGGAAATTCAACTTTCAAGGAGATATCAACCAACAGTAATTTCTTTTTTTTTTTTAAAATGGGAGGGCAATCAAAGCAAATTCAATTAGCCAGTTGAACAGTCTTGGATTAGATTGAATTACATAACTTGACATAAATCTAAGTAACTTAATTCTATCTAACAATATTAACAATGGATAATAACAGTCGACGAAACAAATAAACAATCTTCACAAATACACTGACCTCATTTGAATTCAAACACAAAATTAAAAACTCACCGAGGTAATGGACACTTGCCAACTAGTCGTGAAGCTTGATAGAATTTAATCAATACCAGACGACATCGTTGCAAAATGCTACGTACAGCTGTTTTGCTAACCATTAGAGAAAAACTTGTATTCATTGCATTTACTTTATAATTGTTAGTATTATCATCAATTGAATTATTATCTAATCGTATTTGTTGTTGTTGTTGTTGATGTTCTTGAATTTGTCGGTGATGAGAAAGCATGCGACAGTAATTTACTAAAGCATAAACGAGCAAATTTTTCACGAAAACTCAATTGTCTTAAACGATCTAAATCAATATCCCAAGCGAGTGATTCATTCATCAAAGGATCTTGAGGCAATTCAGTGGTTAAAAAGTTCATTTGACGCACAGCACGACCTAATCCACCTTTAGGGAATTTAGCTTCACTATTCAATTCAGCTGGCTGACAATGCATCGTTGTAGGCGCTGTTGACTTATTGTCGGAGTGATCAAAAGATGAATTCAACTGATGTGATCCATTCATCAAATCAGCATCTTCACCACTAGGAGTATTGTTATCGCCTTCATTATTGGTGATACTGACAGGTACAGCTGATTGGACAGAGCCAACACTGAGTATATTAATTAGTCGGCTAATAAAGAACTCTGGTAGTTGTGCAGGATTTGACAGGAATAAATCACTGATTAAATCGACAAACTATGGTATTCGACGAAAACAAAAAACAAAGGAGAAATTGAAATAATCAATTCAAGCAAGTAAATACGTAGTAGTATATTAAAGTAGCATCTAGCGATGTATTCGGAATCGAGTCAGCAATGACCTCAATAAGAAAGAGGTGTGAACCAATGGAAAAAGAAGTGTATCTTAAATTTTACGGACCATATTTTTTCGAGCATACATCAGAGAACAAACATGAATCTTGAAAGCATATACGAAATTCTTTTTTTTTATTATATACATCCATCGTGGACATGAAGAGGCGAAATTCAAACAGGCATTCACTATCTTTCACTTCATTCCACCTACTACTTGCCTCTTTCTCTCGCTTCGTGCTGACATAAAGATAGACTAGCTTTCACTAGGCGAATAATCAAAATATAAATTATGCACTCACAGAAAGTGCTTAAAAGACGACATTAGTTCAACACACAATTTTGTATTGTTGAGATTTTCAATCACATCACATTTTATTGTCAAGTGGTTCTATGATTTGAATGTGCATTGAAGACAATGTGAATAAATGATCGATGAGATAAGAGAGTTTAGGCGATTTGGAGAATTAATATTTTTTTCAACAATAAATGATCAAATTATGATGGAGCCGATTTCTAGCTCAGCTTGATGATTTTGATGTAGTTGTGTTCTCCGAGCTAGCTGGATGGTTTATTTGAGAAGCTTTCATTGCCCTACTAGGCAAAATAATCAGTGAATAGCTCAATGTGATGAAGTGAGCTTTTAGATTCCTCCACGAGCTTATTACTCATCTCTTCTGGTGACTACCTTGAACGTGATTGGTTGTCTTTGTGTGTTTTCAAACCTCCTAGTCTACTTGTATTGGTGTTGATTGCTTCCTTGAGCTGAAGTTTTACTTCTTGTGCATGATATTTTCCTCTTATGAATTGGTAAATTTTGTCCATGTCAATGTGTCTATTGATTGACGATTCACTGGAATACCAGGCTTCTACAAATTCTCTAGCATTCTCAGTGTTTCCTCTGTCTAATATATGAACGTTCAACCATGAGTATCAATTCAACTGGGACAAGCCTAGTATTCCAATGAATTGTCAATCAATAGACACACCGACATAGACAACATTTACCAATCGACAAGAAGGAAATCTCATGCACACAAAGAGTCAAACTTCAGGTCAAGGAAACAATCAGTACCAATACCACAGGTAGCCTTGGGTGTATGAAAACACACAAAAACAACCAATCATGAGGTTCAAGGTGGTGACCAGGAGAGATGACTCATAAACTCACAAGAGAAATCTGACTTCATCAAATTGAAGCGTATGCGCTGAAAATGTTGTCTAGCAAGCAGGACAATGAAATATTCTCAAATAAACCATCCAGCTAGCTTGGAGAACACAACTACATCAAAAACGATGAAATTTTTCGCTAAGCTATTTCAACCAAATTCAACGGTATACAAAGTCCAAGTTTTGTAGATATGAACACTATTCATCAGTGCCTGAGTATGTTATATATATATATATATATACGCCAGCAAATTCCACGTCTAATTTACAAAACTCAACAAAGTTAAATCTAACAACAATTACATACAATATCTGGGTTCGAATCCCAATGAGTGTGCACCGCTGAAGAGTCAGTCCCCAACTAGGACAAAACAGCTGTCCAGTACTGTCAGGTTTTCCAACGGTTCTCTAATCAATGTCAGCTCATGATGAAATCCTGTAATAAAACATACAATATCTCCTTTTCTGTTGATAATAAACATTTTAGAATTAAAATCAAGCCATAAAATGAGAAACTGAAGTAAACTTACTTTACAGTCTAATTCTTCATGAAGTTGAAACTCCTCAATGGATAGCGATGACGGAGGTTGACTAGAAAAATACAGTTGTGAGTAGAAATCAGAAAAGAGAAAAACACGGTGTTAATATCCTTATAAAGGATGATAACGACGGAATACCAGACAGCATCTCATTATATTATCTCGTACTTTTTAAATATAGACTTCGAGCAGTTAACCTACGATTCTAGTGGGAAGCCGTGACCCCAGTAGGGTACAGCATGTTGACGGTGAGGCAATAACTCATCGAAGAAGACATTGCGAAGTGGTTGCGCTGTGTCATGAATTGGCAGAAGTTAGAATTCATGAGCTGGCTGGCCATTGAATCGACCAGGTCCCAGTGGCTGATGAATGGTCTACGAGCTAGCTAGCCTTGTAATCAGAAGGTCTGGGGGTACGAACCCTGTCGGTGGGTGCGTACTACTGATGAGTCCCAAACTAGACTGATGAAACATATGGCTGTACAGTACTCCAATGGTTCTCTAACTGATATCAATAATAATAAGTGGTTGCGTTGATAAAATTAAGCCATCCTTTAATCATCTACCCCTGACCATACAGAACGCATAATAGTAGATCAGTTTTTTACTTGATATATGCATAAAATCAACACTACACTCATATATGGAAAGGTCAAATGATTTATTTGAAGAGAGGTTAAAAAAGAGATCAAGTTAGGAATATAGATAGCGATAAATTTATGCAGCCATATTTATATATATATATATATATATATATATGGTGGTTTTCGTCAATTTTGCCATTCTAATTATATTTTGTTTTGACAGCCTAATTTCCTAATCTTCAATTTAGTGATTATCTTCACATCTACTATTCAACTGAACTGTTTAACCCTTACATAAGAGCATTGTTGATTTAATGCCTCTATTCGATTTGCAACATTCGTTTGTAATCCTAGAATGCCTACTTGTCAATTACTAACACCAGCCTAACTCACCACCTTAATAACGGCTTTTATTGCATTCTACTTAATCACGTGGTATTTTAACCATCCATCCATCATCTTTATATGATCGACGATCACAGTCTGCATTGATATGAAATTGTTCATGTGGCTGAATATGTACTTCCTGACGTTTACCCGCTTCTCTTTGTTTACATTTCTGGTTGTATATACGTGACCGTGTATGGTCCTTTCCACTTTGGAAATAGTTTGCATGACCCTGGTGCGTATTCATCAGTGTTTTGCCTCATACTATCATATGATGACTTAGCCCAACCTCTCAGCAGCGTTCCAAGTAAAAGACTCTTCGCTGACGGATCTTGAATTCCATTCAACTCCGCACACAGCCTCGAAGTCCTCCCCGAAGATCCATATGTCTCCTTCATCAAAAACAATAGGCCATGAGATTTTCATTTGTCGTAAACGTGTATTCTCAGTTGATCAAACCGCTATTTATATATCTATGCAGTTTTCTATTCTTTAACCAATCACTGAGCTTGTGATTTCGGTTTACATCAAACGACATGAAATAGAATGTTCAAATACACATATATGGCATTCTGTTGCCAATGCAGTAGTGAACTTTGGGGATAAAATTCCGTTGGCATACATTGTCTCTATCACACCACCACAACATGACTGTCTACATCTGATAATCTATGAATTTCTTGAGAAACAGTAAGCGCGCAGTCAATCATGTTTTTTTTTACTTATGGTAACCAGTGTAGGTAGGTCATCGAGAATCAAGAGTTTTTCTTTTATAGACATTTGTTTCGACTTAATTTTTACGAAAAAGATGACTTTGTTTACTCTCTTTTGATTTTCTAGTGACACGTCTCTATCGTAAAAGTGTACTAGAAGTAAAATAGAGAAAGGATAAAAAATCTGGCGTTTCAAGAGTAGACAGTCAATCTGCGAAATCTTCAGACAACAATGGAGTAAGTTGGAAGCTTGGAAGAGAGAGTGTGTGTGTGCTAGTGTGTTAGTTCTGACTGACTGGTTTCAACGTGGAACTTTGCACAGATGTGCACCGGTTCCACTTGCCACACTTCCTCTTTGTACCACACAAAGCAACCGAAGAGAGTAAAAAGAGAGTCAAAAAAGAGAGAGATAATAAACAGAAGCGTGAATGAGGGAAAAAGAATAGTATTATGGAATAACAATAGAGTTTCTTTATTGGATATAATAAATCACAAAGAGTGAATGCATCTGCACTATTGAGAAGGCTTTGAAACATTTCACCAATTCTCAACGGCCATTATTCGTTTTTACTATTCCGATGACCCCAACGAGATCGCAAGGCAGTTTACACCTGCCTACGCGACTGGTTGGCTTAAACTAACTGCTGTGCATTTCAGTGGCTGATACAGTCATGTTTACGTTTGACCACCCCTAGTTAACTCTTTTCCAACCTCATCCATCCTGCGTCAGTCAGCTAACACTGCCCATCGGTCGAGGAAGGCGATCGACGGTTAGTCATGAATGTGTGACACATGCCCTAACAATCTCTCTCAATCCGTGTAACTTCACAACCACCTCGTCGATTGATTTCCCTTCCCACCTACTCACCACTCGACCACCGATGCCTAACCTCAATATTGCTTACCCTATTATACCACCACCACCACCTGACACATACGGGAGATAGAAAGCAGACACCTATGATTAAAGACAGCCAGCCAGTTAAGCTTTTCATGTCTTCCACTTTCAATGGCCATATCTCACAGGTGGCCATAAAGGAGGATGGAGTGAAGTGCTGCTCGATAACCAGCCAGTCGGATATGAAGTCTACTAAGTCAAAGATGGCGGAAGTTGGCTGGTATATACTACACGACTCTTCTCTGTATCCGTGCTGAGATTTCATCAGCGATCAATCAACTTATGGGACTGGTTGATTCAACTTACCCCACCCCCCCCCCCCCAACTAAATGAAGTGGTCAGTCAGTGTGTTAGTTCATTTATTTCAGAAATTCAAAAAAAAAAACAATAAACGATAAGGTTTCATGTTTTCCTTCAATTAAATTTTAAAGAAAAAGAAAGCATTAGGATGTGAATAATGCATTATTATTATTATTATCTCATATCATTTTTTTAATTAAGTTTCACACGCTGTGTTATTTGAGTAAAGCTCAAAACTAGAAAATATGCCGTGTTCCGATTTTTTTTCTTTTTAAATAAAAACAAAAGTTACCCTAGATGATAAAAAATAATGATAACTTCACTTGTTTATAAGGAGGAAATAAATTCCCATCTGGAAATCGTTGTGTCTTGAACATTGAAACAACTTGCAGATATAGAATGAAATCTTTTTTTTATAACACAATTCATTGAATAGATGTTTTATAATAAACTTAGTATGTAATGTTCACGTAGTTTCATGTGATGGCAGAATCTACGAACTATGAAGTCAACTTCATCGCCGGGACTGACCATCTTTAAAATATTGGCATGGAGATGTGGTTCACTGGTGGGTTTAAACACTCCTTGGTCAGTCGATGAGCTAAGAGTTCGAGTCCCACTCCACATAATTCAGCCAGGAAAACTAGGTAAAAATCCTCAGTCTTTATAAGACCAGTGTGGCTTCAGCTTCTTTGATACAGTAAAAACTGTATCGCAGATAACTGATATGTATATGCATCACAGTTTCACTTGACAGACTAATCATTCCATTCGACATTCGAAGAAAACACATCCTGGATTCAAACTTTGTTCCTACTAATTCATCAAAAAGATATCCTAGAGACAGAATACATGAGCTTTTAACACGCAATAACCGCAGAATACATAAAAAAGTATACTATGTGACAACTTGAGTTAGCATTTTTTTCAAAAACATCTTTCAACATGTGTGGCGAGTGCTACTGATAAGATTTATCAGTAGTATATATCTATGTATATAAAGAGATGTTCACCAGCATAACAACATCAAAAAGGAGGGAGATACAGAGAAAGCAAATGATACAGTGTTGTCCAGATACATGGGAGACGTCAAAGGAACGGAAAGAAACAAAATATGAAGGAAAGGCAGAAGTAGCACAACAACATGGGAGATCTGTGCAAATGATGCGTTGAAGATATGGTGTACATAATTTAGCAATATAGAGATACCAATTTGCATAAAAACATTCTCAAAACAATGGTTACTGAACAAAAAATATTCTTTTCGATAACTTACTCTTCATCAGGTTCTACAGTTATATACACATACATAATAGTGAATGAATTAGTGTTATTAACAACATTAATGTTGTTTAAATAACATCGGATCAATAATAATGATATCAACGGATTACAGTTCGATGGCATCAACATAACAATGCACACTGAATATCAGACAAATTAGGAAAAAGAATAGTAATACAGAATTCATTGATTTCTAGTCTCCCCTGAAGACCGGCCAGGGTAGTAGTAGCGCCTGGCTACACACAGAGCACCAGTTGTTTAAGGTAGATCGCGATATCCTCCACTGTTTCAGAGTATGCAGTACCTGGATGTTTTTGGCAATTTATTTGGTACCCAGTACATGATAGAGAAGGATTCTTAAATGCTGGCTGGCTTTGTGGTCGGTTTGGACCAGGTGGTCTAATATCGAGCTATTGATGCTTCTCACTACACCTTTATTTAGCCACACCACACATGTACGTGGTCCCGAGCGAGAAAAAAAGCCAGTTCCTAGAGCAACGGCCAGTATAACTGGCTCCACCGAAAGCTCAGTTGAATTAGTAGACATAATTAGAAGTGGCTAGTCTAGTTTAGGTACTTCATCTTTCAATTGAGGAATCACCATCAGTTGTGTAGAAAATAAGACTTGTAGTTTACCAGCACTAGAAGTTCTTTGAACTGATTTTCTTAACTTGTTAGGAATTATTTCGCTAGGTGTATCGGCCTTGAATTACAGTGGTGTGTATAAAGGCTTCTTGTTTACAGATAGTGAGTGAATAGTCGTTTTCAACTTTCCTAATCATATGATTCCTGATGTGTAGTATACAGTCCTAAATTCATCTTAATTACCTCTTCTGAATATATAGCTCTAACCCTGTAGCTGTGAGGGTGATTATTAAATTTCTTTTGTACTGGAGAGGAACGAAACTGTAGAAATGGGTATATTGGCCTATCCATGTGCTTTTCCTATGCAAATTTCTCTTTATACTCCCATCTGGTTTTCCTGTAAGGAGGACATCTAGGAAGGCAATGAGAATTCTTTTTTTGGATTCGTCTTCGCTCGAGAATTTCCCAGCAGTAGAGATTAGAAATTCATGAATTTATATTATTGTTTTTCCTAATTTGTTTGTCTGATATTCAGTGTGTATTGTTATGTTGATGCCATCGGACTGTAATCTATTCATACTATCGATCGCTTGGATGTTATCTAAGCAACAATACTGTTGTTAATAACACAAATTTATTCTCTATTATGTATATGTAACTGTAGAACCCGATGAAGGAGTTATCGAAAAGAACATTCTTTGTTCAGTAGTAACCATTCCTGTGAAAAAAATCAGTTCATCAAATAAACATTCTTTTACCAAGTCTTTCATGTTCTAACGTTTCACACAATATGACCATCTAGGTTCGAATGATCCTCAATATTTTGTAGAAATTTCCTTAATATTAGTTGATATTATATTTGCTATTATATTATTATCATAATTTAAGCGCCTTTAATCAACTGTAATTCCATTGATCTTACTTAATAAATCGATATTATTAGGACAAAATCACAAATATTGTTATTGACTAGTATTCTAGAATATTCTATGTATATAAACATAAATGTAATTATAGAGCCAGAAGAGAAAATTATCCAAAAGGATATTCTTTGCTCAATTATTTTGTATTTTATAGATGACTTACTTTTGACAGAAAAGAAAATCTTGAATAGTATCCACAATTTGTTTGCATAAAGCATGATTAGACGAAGTATCTATACACATAAACAAACATATAAGAATAAATAGTAGAAATTTAAAAAAAAAAGATCTATTAAACAAAACTGTGACAACAGGTCAAAATATTTTATGTACCCGACTAGAAATCCAACTTAGGGTTGGAGGAAGCACATTACCATTATCGGCTGTTGTTTTTTGTCATTCCTTTACATAGGGTGGTGGCTTCAACCTAGAGGCTTGAAGTCCCGATAGCAGTGCATTTTGTTTGTTTTTACGGGATGGGGTTGCTAGCCAGCCCTCATGCCCAACTTTCCCTTTTCACTAGTCTTATTACTGGCTTAGCGAGGTAACGGAGGAGTGCGTCTGTGGCCGGGGGATGGAACTTCGGACCACGTGTGGCGTGGATGACCAGCTGTTTGGTGGTTAGAGTTCAATGTTTTCGTTTGTGTCTCCAAATTCTGTTAATCAATGCATGAATAATGTTTTCTTGTTAAAATCAACTGAACATGTATACAAACCCAGGACTAGATATCAAGATAATTTAGATAGATTTGTGGATAAATTCGTTCAAACTGTTTTTTATATAAAGAAGACTTTTTGACTTTGTTTAAATTTGACATTTTCGAAATACACAACCTTGAAATCATATGTTTAATTAATTACACTCTATATTCAAATTTCAAGGTAAGACGTCAACAGCTGACATGTCGTCTTTCAGGAATTGATTAGTTCAGCCATACTGTTTTATCTTTCCACCACCACCGCCAGTGTTTTAACCATCTTTTCCCAATTAATAATAGTTGCTGAGGTTTGAGTCTTCATAAGGACTTCATCACCATTGATGTTTAGGGTCTATCCAACCGACGGTTCCCCAAGAAGGACGAAATGTGAAGCCTTGATTCCACTACTAGTCATCAACACCAATCAAATAACATCTTACTACAAGTCATCACAAATAATGCCTTATAGTTAGAATTGTGGTAACGCCAATAATAATAATAATAACTCATCAAGAATTGAAAACATTTATTTCCCGATAGGAATTTAAAACAAGCAATAAAGGTTAATAAAGCAGGATTTAATGAATTCATCAAATTTCGGTAGAACATGTCAGCTCTCTCTCTTTCCTTATCTATTTGACCATGACCTGGAAAAACATTCGCGCCTGTCTTTCTGCATGACTAATTCAATGTAGTTTGTTTACTTATCAGTCCTATATCTGCGTATGTAGAGTATTCAGCTGACGAGTTCTATCAAAATTTGATGAATTCATTAAATCCTGCTTTATTAACCTTTATTGCTTGTTTTAAATAATAACTCAGTCACCCTTTTTTATCATTCCTTTATGTTCGCAGTGGAGCATAGCTTGAGCTTTGATCTTTCTGTAGTAGCAGTGATAATATTGTTAGCCTCACTTCCATCCTTTCTTATTCACCTGGCTTACACCCTGCTACCTAAGCAAGGTTTAGGAGTGGGTCGATCGTGAATCGAACCACGACAACATGCACGGTTCAGAAGGACTTTACTAACGAACTACTACTGACGCACAATCAGTCATTAGTACAGAGATAATGTTACACTTCACAGTTCTTTCCTCTATCAAGCAACATGAAGTCAGTTATGAATAGCTAAAACACAAACAACCTTCGAAAGTGAAGCAGAAAAAAAAATACGACTGTACATCATTATGTTCATATATAATTAATGTAATAAACTAATCGATTTCATTTCACGATGAAATCCTAAAAGCAATCAAATTTCTACAAAGCAACACCTGAATATCAATCTGATGTTCACCAGTGACTGACCCTATTCAGATAGATTGCTAGGTAGTTAGTTACCCGGGTTCTGGTGAGAAATAGTGACCACTGGGGTACAGCAGGTGAGAGTGTGAGGACAAATACTCGCCACTCATAACATTCGCTAGTGGCAATGGCACCATATCATGAATTGTCAGAAGTGGGAATTCATGGGCTGGCTGACCATTGGATTAGATCCCAGTGGCTTAATGGTCTATCAGCTCGCCATGGGTTCGAACCCCTATGGTGGGTACGTACTGTGATGAAATGTCAGTCCCAAACTAGGCTGCCGAAACAGCTGTTAGTTTTCCATTGTCCTCTAATCGATGTCAGTTCATAATGGAAATCCTGTAACGAATCAAATCAAATCCCAGTATACCAAAATGTGAATATATAATCAACTGATAAGAGATAAGAGGATAAACTTACACGCAACCGAATCTTTCTTATTCATCATTACGGATGTTTTACTTTTAATATTCACTGATTTATTTGATATCACGATAATACCAGCTGTAATTACTTGAAAAAAGCATCGACAGGCTAATATCCATGTGGTTTGAGATGGACAGGCATATTTCAATGCCATAGGCTGATGTAATGTCTAGACAATTAGAAGAAAAGTAAATGAAGACACGAAAACAGAATGTTGGAAAAGCAAAAATTATTTAAAAAAAATAAAAGATGAAATGCATTGCATGAAAAATATCACTCTAGCATAGGAAAGTGGGTACACAAATAAGGAAGGCATAAATAATTACATTTATTTTTTAAAGTATAAATACGCTCATGTAATGAGATAAAAAGGTAGAATGAAAGAGCATACACTCGAATAAGAGACGGAAGAAAGCGATCAATATTATCGAAAATTATCTCAGATCATGCAATGTGCTAGGGAAATTGAGGTGAAAGCTTATGAACTTATTTTATTCAAGACTCAATAGTTGTACTAAGCTATTATTATTATTTTTCCAGTTTGAGAACCACTGAAAACCAATTGGATAGCTGTTTCATCAACCTAGTTTGGGACTCATCATCAGTACCCACCCACCGTCAGGGTTCGAACACTGGACCTCCCGGTTACAAGACAAGTTCGTATACCGTCCAGTCACTGGGACCCGATGGACCCAATGGCCAGCCCATGAATTCTAAATTCTACCAATTCGTGGTTTTTAGTGCAACTGGCATCAACCAATGCCATCGGCGGGAAATTCATCCTCACTCCCGACTAGATACACACTTCACTGGTCACAACTTGCCTTGTATCCGGGAGGTCCTGGGTTCGAACCCTGCCGGTGGGTGCGTACTGCCGATGGTTCCCAAACTAGGCTGATGAAACAGTAATCTGGTGTTGGGTTTTCAGTGGTTCTCTAACTGATTTCAATCCGTGGTCAAACTCGTAAAAACAAATCTAATCCTTAGAAACCAACTCTTGAAAATTATTATTATTATTATTACAATTGGAATAAGGTTAACTGGTTCAACTCATAAGCTACAATTGTTAAATACAAACTCTTAAACATGTATTGTAATATTTTCAAGTAAAAATACCCCTACTGCCAATCAACACTGTTACTTTCTGTCATCAATGCCTATCAAAGAGACGAGATGAAATATAAAAGGAGTGAGGTACAGGCTTGCTTTATTCAGTATAGGTAAAATTACGCCAACTTTATTGACTATCGTTTGAGACAGCATAAACATGTGCGGAATGCGTTTCATGCCTCAAAGTGAGTATGTTTATCCACTATGATACAGAGTGACATTCATCTGCCATATAGTTATTAATGGACAGTTAACGTTGTTACAATATTAAGAAATATTAAGTTTGTCTGTTTATCTGTACCATGCAAACGGAAATCAATAGACTGGTTTTTCACCATTATTGGCCACCATGTTGATTGTGTAAGACAGAAGGGGAACAAGACTTAAAAGGCATAAGGTTTCTTACTGATAATCTTATGGTTGCGACAGTGTGTGTCGGTGGCACAGCAGTAGAACACCCGTCAACCACGCCACACGTGGTCCGGAGTTCGATCCCTGGCCACCAATGCACTCCTTTACCTCGCTAAGCCAATAGTAAGACTGGTAAACAGGGAAGGTTGGGCATGAGCCTGGCTAGCAACCCCAACCTGTAAAGATAATCACCACTGCTGCAGAAACTCCAAGCATCTAAGTTGAAGCCACCCTATGTCCCACTGGGAATGTAAGGGAGTAAAAAAATGGTAGCGACAGTGGTTGGTAGACCACCCAGTACAAAGTAGAAATCATCTTCAGTATGATTAAGACATCTATTAATTCCTCGGAGAAAAAAACTGAAATCGTAAGATGTGTATATTTCAAAGGGATGGTAATTAACGTGTCTTCTTAGTTCCACTATAATTAAGTGTTAGATAATAGCAAGGGATAGACCAAAATGTGTTTCACTAAATTTTGCCAAGTAATACATGTCAGAACATGACGAAGTCTATTATGGCTCCAAAACTAACAGACATTTGACCATAATGTAGATTAAAGGTCACGATGTTGGATTTTTATCATTTTCTTTATATCTTCAACTAGTAATATCTATTGAACCTCACCTAGTTGAATAGCTCGCTAGTTTTCTAGCAGGTGCCAAGCCCGTGTAAAGATGGAGGGTTGGGTGGGAGTGGGGCTAGAGACCCTAACACGGAGAACTAATTAAACTTCTACAGAGACTTGAACGCACAGAATAATATATTCAGAATTGAAAAAATTCAAATAACGATCTCAATCTTGGCTGGAGTCGGAGAGGCGAAATGACACAGCGGGCTGGTGAAATCCCGCCTTCGGAAAGCCAGTAGGTCAGCCGATGTGTCTCCTCCAGAACAGTCTGGGGAGGCTGCTCAAGTAACCAAAGCAAGGAGAAGATATGGCATATAAGTGCTGGGTATCTGCGAGAGCAGATGAAACCGATGTGGACTAGTCAAAGTGTCAACTGGAGAGCCAGTAATCTACTCCAGTCACCACCTCCACACGACAACCACGAGCACACTGAGTCAGTGAGTGACTATCATGATGTCACCAACAGTAAGCAGACAAGTCTCTCGTGTGGAGTGGCAACCAATCTCCTTCTAAAGGATAATGACAACAAGATTCAACTCATAGGGGAGGAAAGGCACAACCACCCAATGATACGCACAATGCTATAAACGACTCAAAAGAAGAGAAGAAGAAGGAAGAATTCTGTAGACAATTGTAAACAGTAGTGGACAACATCCTAAGTGGCGACATCAAAATCCGTGTGGACAATATGAATTCCAACTGAACTGGGAACAGATAACACAGGAGGAGAACTCATCATGGGCCGAGAAGCTCTCGCTCTATGAAAAGGGAGAACTCTTCGCAGACTTCTGCGCTGTTAGTGATTTGGTGGTCGGAGGCAGCGTGTACAAGCACAATCATTTACATAAGGCGACAGATTTCGCCTGACGGACACACCACAATTCATACAGACTTCATCTCAATATCACTCAAGGAAGTGGAGACGCAGTCTGTTAGATACAAGGTCAAGAAAGGCAGCAGATGTGGGCTCAGACCATCATCTAGTCCAAGGAACCTTCAAGGTGAACCTGGAATCCCTCAAGACACATGGAGACAGGCCAAAATCCAATTTTGATATTCAGAAACTCAACAGAGGGACAAAACTGCAAGGGATGCCTTCACTACAGATCAGATCAGAGAGAAGTCGGAGACTCTACGTGGCATCACTGTGGAAGCCTAAATAGAAAAATATTGGAACTCTCCAAAGGTGATGTTAACAGAAAACTGTACAACAGTTTTAGGAAGGAAGAAGAGAAATAATGGATCTCAACGGACATCTACCTGGAAGCTAATAGAAGAGAAAGGAGGAGGATGGTGAAAGAGAAGATGGCTCAATGCATAGGTGCACAACAGAAGTTGAGTTCAGTGTAAACTGCACTGAATAAAGAAATGAAGAAGAGTGCCAGAAAAGACAAAAGACAATTCTAAGACGCACTGTCTGGCAATTGGAGTAGAACAGGCTGCAGGTGAAAGAGATCTCGGGGCATTATTCAAATAACCAGGTCTCTGGGAAGATACCAACTCAGATGATGAAACCAACAAAAGACATTCAAGGGAACCTGATTACCAAGGAGGAGAAGCAAATAAAACAGTCGGCTGATCACTTTAAAGGACTCTTGAATCGACCATCACCTGTAGCTCACGCAGAATTTCCACCACCAACAGCACGCACAGAACTGTCTCCTAGTGGACACCAATCCTCCAACAAAAGTAGAAATCCTGAATGTGATCAAGCTATTCAAGTACGTGAATGCAGCAGGAACAGACGGAATTCCCCGTGAAGCACTGAAAACAGACCCAGAGACTGCGGTAGATGTTCTCACGCCATTTTTGCAAAAGGTTTGGAAGGAAGGAAAGGCACCTACCGACTGGAAGAAAGGCATCAGAAGTCACTTCCTGCCTTAACTTATCTGGCTAGGAAGCATCGTTTCAACCACAGGAGGAAGGGATGAATATGTCAAAGTCAGGCAGAATCACAACGGCAAGATACGCCTTTATCAAGCTGAAACCAGTTTGGAAATCTTCTGCACTCCGCCTCAGCATAAACAACAAGATTCGGATTCTGTTCAACATAATTGTGAAGTAAGTCACTGTTTTTAAATAGGTCAGAAACTCGACTGGCGCTTCACGAAAAGTATTGTCTACAGCCAGTCGCAGACTTTTATCAACAGCTGCCCACTTCGCTGGCTGACTCCATACTGAAGATCCAATGACCAGACAGTCGGTCGTCCAGAAACAATTAGCAAAAAGAAATTTTAACTGGGAACAAATCAGAAGGCGAGAGTAGATCGCTCAAAAAATATGTAAGAGAAATAGGAGATGCATAGGACACACTCTGAGGTGAATGTCGATTGATATCTCGCTCAGCGCAGGCCATCTCTCGAATGGAATACCGATGGGAGGCAGTGAGTGGGTAGTTGTTGCGAGGGTGACATGGAGAAGATTGTGTGTTGCGGAAAAGTAGATGTGAGATTATGGGCAATCGTGGACCCAGTTGAAGAGGAAATCAGGAAATAGAAGAACGTGGAGAGGTGTTGTTGCAGATCTATGTTCCACTCGGAATCCAATCAAATAATAATAATATATTGGCTATGTGAAATAACTGTATAATCAACTGTAATTTCCATGTTGCCATCTCACGCAGTCTTCTGTCTTTCTTAGTGTGGAAATACTATTCAAGTAACCAGTCGTTTATTGTTTTGCGTTGATGTAAGAGTGAGAACTGACACTACCACACAAACACGGTTCATATTATTCCACTAATCTAATTGAAACAAAGTTACCTAAATGGTAAATGAATCACTGCTCTAGTAGCTTGATATATAGACCAGATTTTCTACATGTCATTTTTACATTGGCTGTTTGTACCTCTCTCATCTCACTTATTGATTTATGCACCTAACTTCCTCTCACCCCACCTATGACCTTTGGAATCCTATTAGTTGTCGGCTATTTTAATTAATAAATGTGATTAGTATCTCTCATGATTAGTTTAAAGGATATACGTCTTAACTTTGTGGATGTGTCCGGCATTACATT